TATAGGCCTGAATGTTTTTCAGGCCTTCTTTTCACTACTGCTTAAGTAGTGTTCATTACTGCGAAGATCGCTTTCATATCCACGTCCTTATCCACAGTTCAAACATATGACTTTCATATACTCACAGCCGCTTAAAAAGATTGTTTGGTATGGCCGTTGTTCGTTGTTAATCTTTGTAGCCAAAAAGCTACTGAAGGCACTGAACTTCAATCTTTATGTACACAAGGCACCCTCAAGGTGGAAGACTAAAGTATTCTTGGACAACAATTTTGAAACTCCTTTTTTCTTCTTTTTCTCCGCTCACTTTGCGTGTATTCGATGTTCCGACACGTGCGTCGTTTTAGTCCGCTCTTTAGTCTTGCGTTCAATTGAAACAGAGTTCACATTACTTTTGGTTGTTATTTGATAACAATAAAACTGTCCATCCTTTTCCTTAAACAAAGTTGCGTTTTCATCCCAATAAATCCATCATTACTCTTAAATGTGCATAGAAGTTTTAATCTATAACAAATTGTAGGTGACAAATTTTCTTTTTAAAATGAAATTTTTTACGAATGCCTCCAAAAAAGGTTGGAATTAAATTAATTTATTCCTCCCGGCCCTCCAGCGCGATGCTTTTAGAATGAGGAAATTTTTGTTCTTTGAGCACTTCGTGGAGTGTTTTTTTTTGTAGAACGAGGAATACTCTTGTTGATTGTGCCCTTCGCGCGGAGCTTTTAGAACGAGGAATGCACTTCGCGCGGTGCTTTTAGAACGACGAATAGACTTGCTGTTACATTCCTGGTAGAGTGCGGAACTTTTAAGCAACTCCTTTGATAACCAGGAAATAACTGACTTTCAGAGTTTGGCCCATTGCTGCGGGACTGTTAATAGTCTATTTCCCATAGTGACAGTTCTCTTAGCTTCAACCTTCTCTTTAATAATAAATAAATATACAAAGGTATTCCCTTTTCCCTAAAGTGGACACAATTATTACAACTATGTTGTCCAAGAAAAGGGTTTATTATTTTGCTTTCTCTTTTCGCCTTTTTTTCTTAGTCTGTTTTTTTTACCCTCTAAATACTTGAATTGCTGTAATACTGTCTAATAACTTAACTAATAACTCATGTCTCTACACATGGGGAACATGTAACATACTAAAAGTTCACAATGATAATAATAGAAAATTGAAGAAACTTTCATTTTTGTCAAGTAGGGGGGGGGATGTTTGAGAGGGGACCTACACTTAGTACTTAGTGTTAAACCAAGTTTTCCCAGAGGACAGTGACAACAACCACAAGGTTTTACATTACACCCATATAGAACTGTAACCAGAAGTCAACACCCTTCTGCTAAGAGATAACTATAATTATTTGCTTCATTCATGTACATGTATTTACTTCTATTCACAACTTGTCTGAATGTGGAGACTGAAGTTCAGTGCACAGCTGTGCCATCAACACTGACATTATGAATGGAAACAAAATGATCAAATCCACTTTTGATAAGAAATCTCAGATGACATGCTGATGTAACAGGAATCTACAAAGGAAAAAACATGCAAATAATATCAAAATGTAACAGCCCTACATTCACAGTTAGGACTGAATATTTGTACTTTTATACACTGATCAATTTTAAGTTTCAACAAGTCTCCCCCCCCCCCCGAGGAACCAGTAGCATTCAACTGAAAGTGCATGTCTTTCCATCAGAACACACACATGGTTCAGAATGCCAGATACATATATTTTAGACCTGAAACACCATTGAAGCAGGATTCAATTTGCTGAATTCCAAATACTTACCTTAATCTCATCTCTCTGCATCTGACCCTCTAAATTTTCATACTCTGTCACAGATAACAATTACACATTATTAATAAATTGCATGTATGTTTCATTGAATTTGTCAGTTTTAAATTCTACAGTCAACCACACCCTGCAATCAGTCATGCCTTGGCCATGTCAATGTGCATTGTACTGTGCTGTCGGTGATCAAAAATAGAGGATTATTTGATGGAATGTCCTTGCTTAAACTTGTTTTAATTATTTTGTTATCATGTTCATCATTTTTTCCTAATTAAATTTTCAAAGTAAAGTCAGGCTATCAATTGTATCATAAATGGTAGCCTTACTTTACATTGTGAGACAAATGCTTTAAAAAAAACAATTTACCTCTAATTAACCAGGATGAACAACAACATTTTCTATAACATATCTATGGCTTCTTTTTACCTTTGTCCACAAGAGGTTCAAAGTCTACTGGTTCTGTTTTTGTGCTTTTCTCAATGCAGAGGCTTTTAACTGCAAATAAAAATTCATATATGCTACAAAACCTTGAAGCTCCTGGTCCATCATGAGCTGGTAACCCACATGTACCTGACTCCTCACAAAGACTTTTCTCAATTTTTTACATCACATTAAAAAAAAAAAATTCGTCTAATTTTTCACAATGCAGCACAAAAACAATGATGTAGCCCCTGTGATAAAACACAGGCATGCATAGTATGCAAGAGTTATTTTTTAGGCAGGGTGGGTTGAGATGGGACACTTTGCATACCTAATGTTTTCATTCTTGTGACAGGAAAAGAGCATAACTTTCAAAAGAACAAAAAAATATTGCATTACTTCGCCATAAGAGAAAGAAAAAAATAATCTTATTTAACTGAATTCACACAGGTAGTTTTTGGTCTGTTGTTTCTATGGTATAATACTTCTAAGCAAAAATAGAATGCAACGGTGCCATGCTTATACTGTTGTCTCCTTCACACCCATTGTTTGATCTCGTCACACAACACCATCTATTCTTCATTGAAGAGAGAGTGCGTTGCATGGCAAGAGACCAAATAATGGTTGCAAAAGGGACTATGCTTACTGCTGTTCCTCTACCAAAAAGAATATCAAAATTATTTGTCTAAAGTTAGTTGCCTTAAAAATATCATTCTATGTAATTTTACTACGAAAAGCAAACTGAAACTCTGTTGGACAATGCTGTTACTATACATAATAAAATGCAGGTTATTTACAAGGAAATGATACAAGATGGAGCAAAGTCTAATGTGGCAAAATGGAATTTGATGGGTGGAGTACAATTCAATCATGTGAAACATTGCCTACTGTTCATGTAGAGCAATGATTGGGCATGTCCTAATTAGATTTTGGACGTTGTTTTCATGGTACGTGTTTACCATGTGCATTGTAAGTAAAGGAGTGTAAAAGACACCTTTTAACTTAAAAAATGATGCAGAAAGTTAAATGGAAACCTTTCATATCACAAGAAGTCTTGACCTTTTGATGAAGATCTTGTGAAGGCCACAAAACATTGCCCTTATCAAATGAGCCCAAAATATTTGATTAATGTCATTATTTATGCACAGCCCCCTAATTCCATGACATCATTTGCAAGAAAAGCTGATTGGTACAAGATATCAAAATGTTGTGATATGATTGGTGTAAGATACATACCCCACTGCAGCAATCTGATTGATGTGAGATACATTACATACCCTAATGCAGGGAATCTGATTGGTGCAAGCAACATACCACTCCACTTGCTAACATAGAGTTATTTATTGTTATGAAAAAAAAAATTCAAAAACCATTAAATTGATAATGCCCATGTTACATTACACTAAACACAATTTCAAGATCTTCCACCATCATCCTCACCATTTGAAGATAGGAATTTTATATTTCCAATGCTCATTAATGCACTAAAGGTGATGATGAATTCTTGAGGAAACATTCCAGTTGTTGGCCAGAAAGTATCAAGGCTTCTATGGAGCAAAATAAAAAGACAATTAGTTCTGTTTTGGCTGATCAGGATGCAGCCATAGGAGTCACAGATGGTAAAATTTGAGACTCACAGATTACAAAGACCCTTGTTTGAAAATGCAAGAGTGTGACTATATATAATTTAAGCTGCTTCACATGACCTCTCACTTTGGCTGTAAGACTTCTAGATGGGAACTTGAGTTGATTCTAAACAAGCTTTTTAGCCATAAACAATTGACGGCTCATGATCTTAAAGGTATCATTCATCAACCTTTGCCTTAGAGTTTTCCATTTACTTATTACTGAAATGTACTATAATAAAGTAAAACCCTGCTAACTTGAAACCCAAACTAACTCAAAGAAGATCCAATTTTCCCTGGATTTGACCCTAACTTTTTCTGTCATTGGTAAAATTTCCACACAGCCCCATACTGTTGTAAAACAAATCTGTTTTCCCAATGGCAGTGTATAGTTTTAGTCATTGTTTTCTCTATCCAAGAACTGAATGCATAATGTAGTATGGGGCTGTGTGGAAATTTTACCCTGTCATTAAATATCAGCTAACTTAAACCATTTTCTGTTTCCCTTTGGAGTTTGAGTTTGCAGGGTGCTAACGTAGTTTTCAACTTTTGTGTGACATTACCAAGTACAGATAAAAGCAAGCATCTGCAAATATTGCGTTACTCTTCATACCTTTCTTTCCTTAAATCTTGCTTTTTAAGAATAAACAGATCATGCACATTCAAGAGGGCCACGGGTTACCATGACAACTACTATCGTAAAAATGTTCACGATAGTACATGTAGAATGATTAGGTCATGGTCTACCAGTTTAGCAATTCCAAAAAGCATAGCATTACTGGGTTTCAGATAAATTGGAAGTGGTCTTGAAATATCTTAATTGTCCTTATCAAAACCTCAATTAACTTTGCTTGTTCGAAATTTGAAATGTTTGGCAAGATCTTCACCGAACGTAAAATACTTACCCATCAATGATATTTTCTGGTGGATGATTTTCATCAAATGATGTAGCAAGGGCAATAGTTGCTCCAGCACTACTTAAAGCCACGTCAAACATGTTTTTAGTGCTATTTTCTGAGGAGGAAAACCCTCTATCTCGCAAGTGAGGGGTTCAAAACATTTCAAAATCGATTGCCCCGGAGAATACTGGGCCGAGCTCCATGCTGAATATGCGCAGCTTGGTTTTAATTGCTGACAAGTAGCATACTCATGTTCAAGATGGCGGACGTTTCGTGCAGAAATTGTTGCTGGCATTGATAAGAAATGTTTCCACTAAATACGAAACAATTTTCTGCTGCATTCCTGGATGTAAAGCGTAATAGTCAAGGTTATAACGAGGAGGTCAGTTCAGTCGACAGGGATGCAACCAAGAAACTACTGCGGCCCTTCCATATTCCCCAAATCGGGCCTTCTTCTATTCCACAATGTCATCATCTTGGGACCATGATGTGGAATTTCATGTGGAATTGTGCGAGAAGAGAATGTTATCCACCCGCTCATCATTTGGAATCAAGAGAAGACTCACGAATGGAATCGCGAAGAGCACCTGAACAATCATGTTCTTCAGTTCTTCCGGAATTTGAATTACATCGCGTAACTTCAAAACATAAAGCACGAGAAGCAAACGAGCGACAGAGTGCGGAAAATATTGAACTTTCAAGACTAGTTAAAACACAATCTTTAAACAAGACCTCTTCTACAAGAAGTACTGATTCTTCTCGAAACAATGTTTGTTGTGTGGAAGCAGAACCACAAAACAGAGGTATCCTCCAGCAATTTAGCTGTGAAGAAGCAAATGTTTCCAATGAGACTTTTGTTAATAGCAAATTAAGTAAATCGATAAGAGCATCCCACTGGGATAGTGACATGAAATCTTCAGAGTCTGAACATTGTATTGTCTCAGATTATTTTGACAGAGAATCAAAGTTAAGTCCAACTTGCAATGTACTAAGTGAGTTGGAAACCAAGGTGGATGTTAATGGTATATATGGCAGAGAAAGTTTGCAAAGCGATTTAGTCTGTAATGGCGATTGGTGGCTAAACAGTGACAATATTTCAAACCTCAAGGATTCGACTGCACCTCTCATTCCTCATGCATATAGCATTGAGGAGGGTGATTTTGTTGGCAAAAAGAAATTTTTAGAGAGATTGCTTGAGACAAAGCTGCAAATAAAGCCTTTGACTCTGGTTAAGGATGGCATTTACAGCCAAAGGCCAGTTTCAAATACTTTTACCCTAAATCTGAACTTGGAGACAGTGATGTCCGTTCTCTGCACTGATGAGGAACATTCAAAAAATGCTGAACACAGTGATATTGATCTATGTGGGAAGATTTCCATTCTGTATGGCATCCAGGATACAATAGTGTCAGTGGTTGCTAGTGAGGTGGTAGGAATGTATGATTATATCTCAGGAGCTGTGTATGGATTGAAGGGATGCTGTCATGATGAATCTGAATATCAGTTAAAGGTAATTCATTCTAGTAACTAGAAGGTTGGTGGCTTTGATGAACTAACATAAATGAATTGGTTGTACTAGACTCAGGTTAAATATAGAACAGGTTTCTAGTTAAAATGATGGTCAGTGTCTCTTGTCAGTGTTCAGTCAGTGTTGTGTGGAGACTCCTGCCTGTTTTGTTGAATGATTCTGCCTTCTACAAAAATGTGTCTATGTTTGAAAATTGACTCATAAAAATTTGGCAGATTTGTCATGTAGTCTAAGCATTAGTAACTTTGTGTTTCGTCCAGTTCTAGGATGATTTGTCCTGCAATCTATTAGTAACCTTTTGTTCATAGTGAGTTCTCAATCAGGCTTTCCAACCAGTCCAGATATAAAATTGTCTGGAACTTGTCGTGAAGGTTGTGGGGAAGTGCATGTATTTCATCTTTGTGTGTGGCTGTGGACGTTTTGCAGTAGCATAGCTAAAGCCAGACATCTTTTGTCAGCTTGTCTTGCAATGGTTCCCAGTGGGCCCATGAAATTGGATGATATATCTCAGTAACTGTAGCTAAGTTGTTAACATATATTTATCAAAATTTCCATAATATTAAAGCTAGAAATGCTGTAATTTCATAAAGTACTTTAATTCAGTGCTGAGAATTTGTTTATCTATGTAGGACAAGAAGTACCCCCTTTCATCAAGTGCAGTGAGTTTGGACCTTAAGGAATTCATAGTTCATTTTCAACAAGAACTGACAATGTCATCTCACAACGTTGACAATGACAATGTGTTAAAGGAGCACTCTCCTGTTGCCTGGTTACTGATCTCACCAGCTCTTGGAGTGACCCTTGACTGGCAAGTACAAGAGAAAGTCCTTGAATTTATAGAAACTTTGTCATCAGAGGAATTTGCTGACAAGCAAGCATCTGACAGTTACAACGAAGGATGTTTTTCAAGCCAGTGGTACAATCTGTTGGTAGTTGTTGACCAATATCGTTGTTGTGAGAAGAATATTCCACTGATTGAGGTATTTGAGTTTTGCAGGAATGGTGAAATTAATGTTGTAAACTTTGACTTAACTTAAACGATTAGTTCATGTGAAACAAGCCTGACTGAAGAATGGAACAATTGAAGTATTGCTGGTAATGCTGTGTTTTAATACATGTATGTCATCATGTAAACTATTGGTTATATTAATCTGCAAGTTTTTGTTTTACAGTACATTGTATGAGCTCTCTCATGTAGCAAAAGTTTAACATTTGTTTGTAGCCACTCTTATATTTTTGCAAGATTTTCAACTGGTATAAAGAGATTAAACTTCCTTCAGGAAGTGTTCAAAGATGAACTTTAACCTTTAACCCCTAAGATTGACTGACTTCTAATTTCTCCTTACAGTATCAACCTTGATTCAAATGTAAAGGTTATCAGAATGTAGGAAATAATCACCAATTTAAGTAGTTCCTGATTGTCAAACAAATTCTCCTTGTCAGTACCAAATGTAAGGGCAACAGTGTGGAGAATATTGACACTAGTTAGAATGTACAGGGTAAGGAACTCGAGATGAGAATTAAGCTCTTTTAATTTTTCTCAACTTGGCCAATCAATTACTCAGCTGAAAAATTTTGAAGTGAAGGAGAAAAAAAAAAGGCGAGGTTACAGTTGTATTTATTAGTTCCATAACAAGAAGTGCCATTTGCCAAATTTAAAGCAAGATCAACATTGTTAGGCACAGCTTAAGTAGACACCCCAATAGATTTCCATTCATCAAATAGTTCCGGTTGCAACATTATGCAATTTTTTTTGTTCGTATTAAAATATGCTGCTCTTATTGAGTATTGTTGTTTATCTCATAATGTACTCACTCCGAATATGGATCGCGACGTTTCAACTGCATGCTAATAAATTTTATCATAAACTGCGGTGTTACACAGGGATTTTCATCCCTGAGAAAAGCCGTAACAACACACGTGAAAAAAAAATACGGTTTTTCTTCAGGTGTGTGTGATATCGCTAATCAGCTGCTTACACGTCACTCGCCTTTCGCGCCACTCGGTCATGTTGATGAATGAACGGCAAAGCCCTCACTGTTGTTTGTCGGAATTTTTCTCGGATTATGGCCGCTAAAAAACCGAAAAATCCGTATCGCTTACAGACAGTAACGTTCAAACTTGCTTAGAAGGGGAAGAAAATCAAAACACGAAAAGAAAAAACGAAAGTTAAGTATTCAGTGGCTTTGGTAATGGGTGATCCTCCATGGGGAAAACGGACACTAACGCTTTTCCGTTTAAACTGCGAAACCGTTTACTATCCGTTTAAATCCGTTTAAACGGTTCATGAAAGCGTTTAAGCGGTTTGGTCATGCGTTTAAAAAATTTGCATCCGTTTAACGCTGTAGCAAAAACGTTTAAACAGTTTCCTTATCCGTTTTAAAAAAATTATTTCCGTTTAACGTTCCAAGGAAAACTTTTAACTGTTTATCATTCTGTTTCTGGCAGTTCGAAGTATCAATCTTACGTTCGCTCGATACTCGCCGGCTCTTGAAATGCAGATTTATTTTTGTTTTATCTTTTCCGTCACATCCTTGGACAAACTAGTTAGGTTAAAATATCCGTTTGTACAAACGTAGAGCATCGACAGCCAATGAAGCCATTCATTTGACCATGATCCTGCCATCGATCTTGTTTGAACAGTGCGCCTGATCTTGATTACAGATTTGGTGAAATCGAGATAATCCTGTCTTGGTTCTCGTGTAATGGTTTTGCTAGATCGACTACTCTCTATCTGTTTATATCACCTTGATTCATCTTTCTTGGTTTTATTGACAATTGGCCCCGCTTGGTGCGTGACACCGATTGGACCTTTTATTTGCAATGGAACTTCATTGCGCTATTTGACCCTGAAGCGTCTCGGCTTCCGACAAGGTCGCGGCATTGCGTCTGCAGATTTTTTTCGTGAAACTTTAAAACAAAAAAAAATGAAGTTCATTTTCAATAATAATAAGAATAAACAAAGGAGGAGATTATGAGTTTCTCGCAATAGCCGATCAGGATATTTGGCAGCGAAACTATTCTCGGTAAATTGCGCTTATTTCATGAAATATGTCACACGAAAACGGCAATAGTTCGCACGCAATAAAATGCGCAAGTGTATCTTAGTTATTATTTTTCAAATTATTATGCTCAAATAGTTATCGGTTATCGCTCGGAAAGTTTTTCCGCAAAAGATCTCGCCGGCTCAACCAGAACCGTTTAACATTAATTTTTAACCCTCCGTTTGTCGATTTTGGTCAACCGTTTCTTGGTTTTAGCTATCTGCTTTTTGAGACTTTTGGTCAACCGTTTAACCTTTCGAGCTAACCGTTTTTATTTTTGGTCAACCGTTTAGCAGTTTTAGCTATCCGTTTTTGGACTTTGGTAAACCGTTTAACGTTTCTTGCTATCCGTTTTTATTTTTGGTCAACCGTTTGAAGGCCTAAGATATCCGTTTTTGGACTTTGGACAACCGTTTAAATTTTTTGCCATCCGTTTAAGCGGTTATGGAAACCGTTTAAACGCTTGAGTTAGCCGTTTAGTATTCGTTTAAAACCGTTTTTCTAGACCGTTTAATGGAAAAGAGTTAGTGTCCGTTTTTCCATGGAGGGTCACCAATTTAAGTATTTAGGCATGGTATTTCTCGCGGCTTAGAGTGAAAATTGACAACTTGAAGAATTGCCAGAGTTCTATTTTGGCTGTGTACCTGAAAAGATTTCTTTTGTTGGTAAGGACAAAGTCAATAACTGAGAATTTTGTATATTGAAAATTACGCCCATTGTTGTTTTCGTAATGATTCTAGGCATTTTCCATCGTGAGCCAGCACACTTTACGATTTTTATTCGGGGATTGTCGATCCTTTTACCTTCATTCGTAAATGAAAACGACTTTTCTTGTCAGTTAAGGGCTTTTGTGTTTGTATGATAAACAGAATAATACATGGTTGCTTGTAGATACGGAATTATTCTTCTCGTGTTCAACTCGATAGCTCACGAGTGAGCGCAGCGAAGGAGTGAGCTATCGAGTTGAACAAACGAAGAGAAATTGCATATCAACGCGCGCCCATGTATTATTCCGTATGAAAATTTCGGTTTTGTGATTTTGTCAATGCAAGGTTTTGTATCGGAAACCAGCGTTTTCCGGTTGTAAGTGATTTATTGCAATTTACGATTTGCCTAGCTCTTTTCAGTTTCCGTATTTAGACCAACACTGCAGCAGTGATTTGGAGTTAGTATTCATCGTGAGCTCCGGTTATGCGATCAAAGGAAAAGGTATTCAGTCGTTTAGTACCCACAGTCGTTTCGTACCTAATCATTTCGTAACCAGCCCGTACCCAAATTCAGCCGATTCGCACCCAGTCTGAGTCGGATCTAACCCGAAGCACCCAATGCTCAATATATATAGATTACTTCGTGGGCACGCGTACGGTATTTTCGCATGAGTTGGTGATGTATCAGAAATCGAACGAGTGAGATTTCTAATACAAACCATCAAGTGCGAAAATGCTGTACAAGTGCCCACGAAGTAATCTATACATACATACTGAGATTTTCACTTTTTTGTTTTGTTTTATTTCACTTTTATTTTCAAATGAGCTCACAAGTCATTCAAATAAAAGTGAATACGCTGCTTTCACTTGCAAAAACGTAGCTCTAAATGCGTGAAAATTAGCTCAAGTAGCTCTACAAAATTTCAAACGAGCTTTATTCATGATTAAGTCGATCACTTTAATAATTTTTCAAAAAAAGGCAGTTAGTGGTAAAGTTGTGGGCTGCCGTCATTATCCGACGATTCAAGAATTCGTTTGATTCGTTAGTAGCTTCGTTCCGTAGAAAATTAACCACCTGCACAAGTGCCTGGTGACTTGTTCACAGCGTTTATAGTTATGTTGAATTGTCCACCATGGAATACGGCTCCACTGAAGGGACTAGCAGAAGGAAACATCGAGGTTTTTATGAACGAAGCCCCTGCTTCGGCCATCAAAGCGGTGGTTGCAACAGTGCGTGAAGCATTGTTGTTTGCGTTGCTCGCGGCATTGCATATTGAAGACTTTGAGCTCAGTATCAATGATATATTCTTCTGTTGCTCTTTAGAAACAGAGCTGTAGTCGTTTACACTTTTTTCATGACGGTGACCTGAAAGCTTCATGATGTGAGTGGGGGTATTATCGTTTTTCTTACGCTGCGGTTCGTGAGCCGTCGCTTCTTGTCGAGTCCAGCTTTGTTTGCTTTAGTTTTCATTAACGATTTCAGTTTGTTTACCCCCATTGCATTTGCCTTAAACCAACATCTACTAGAGTCCTTTGAATAGTTGAAACTAAGATAGAAAGGGGCCTCGGTGGTCAGCATTGAGTTTAGTCTTTTCTTGCGATAAAGTTTCTAAACAAACACGGGGTTTCTCTCATCTGGCCCGTCTTAAGTAGCGAAAGCTTTAGGCTTGGCTGATCTGATATTTCGGGTTTCCGCTCCAGTTCGTGATTTGGTCTGTCGTTCAAAATATTCTAAATATTCGGTTTTGTCCACATCTCCTGATAAGTTGAACATCTCCCCAAGTCATTTGTCGGTGCTCGTCGCAGCCTCTCAACCCGAAATGAACAGAGTTCATAAACCGCAGCGTGTTCAATAAAGCCTCAGCACTCGTGATTCCAAGCAGGTTTTTCATGCATAGAATGTTGACCTCCTCGTCTTTCAAAGCCTCTGCTGCGTTTGGCTTGTTGCCCTTCCCTTCCTTTTCCAGTTGTCTGCTTCGAGCCTCCAAAGCTTTTCGAGTTTGTTCAAAATCAAGGTCCTCCATTATGTTCTTTGGATATTTACAAGCTTTCAATTGACTGCTGAAGTTGAAAAGAAATCCTCTGAGGCTTGAAGGCTCGAATTCGTCTCTGTCTTTTCTCTTGACAGTTATGATAAATTCACTCAAGAAATCATTTAGCTGCTCTGACGGAATGACATCCAGTTTTCTCTCCTCATTCTTTTCTTTCAAAAACGCCATTAAAATGGCAATGTCTCTCCGCGTTTTTGATAGCGTGTTCTTACTTTCCTGCTCCTGAATAAACTAATTTACGGGCTTTTCTAACGCAGGAAATCGTAAACTTGAGGTTTCAGCCGTTTCAAAAAGCTAATTTTAGGAAATAAATTTGGCTACAGAACTCCAAACCCCTTTCAAAATGTTCACACAACCAACGACGAAGCTAAGTTTCAAGTAAACTGACGGGGCAGGAAGAGGAGAATTCGAAGGCGCGAAGACCCAGTACTTCTGACGGGTTCTTCGTGATTGGACGAAACGTTTTCTCCACGCGTGAAATTTTAGTTTCTTTGATTTGACTGGCTGTAAACAGCTATGAACTGGGTTTTGAGACTAAAGATTTCGTAGTGAAAATCTCTCTATGTATGAAATAAACATTCATTCGTAATACCTCACGTGCGGGAGAGTGAACAGGTGTCAGTTGTTGCGTACGACAAATTAGTAAAATCAAGTGAGTAAGATACAAGCAAAATTATGTTGCGTATTCTTGCGATCTTCTTAAAGAAAATTTCAAATCATTGCCTATCGCGAGGTAGGTGCGATATCTTTAAAAGAACAGTCTATTGTTTATACTTCTGACTTTAGTAACCGAATAACAGCAAGTGTAAGTGTAATTATTTTACTTCCTTGGTTGCTAACGGTGATAAGTAATGCTAAGTGGAGTGCAATTTGGTCTGAATAACGCGTGAATAATTCGTGACTTCAAATCAAACGAGTGCGCAGATTTGAAATCACAAGTATGATTTTAGACCAAATTGCACAACAGGAAGTTCAATTATCACTTTATTACATCCATTTTGAAATCGCAAATTGAGTCTCTCAGGGTCAGGATTCTTTAGTCTGTACAAATGTTTTGTTGATCCAGTAGTGAGCTGGTTTAGAGAAAGTTACAAAAGTTGTTTTTCATTTTCTTGAAATTTGTTCATTGTTGTATTTTAGTAAAGCTTCCTTACTGGTTGGGTAAAAGATGCAAGAAAAGATAAGATTCGTGAATAAATCGTACCAATGGGAGCCAATCAGATTCATGGATTACCATTGATTTCAAAATGAATAGAATAAAGTCTAAGAACTAAAGTTCTCTCCGTGTGTTTTAAGACTTTGCACATTTTCTAGTTGTCCTTTGCTTGATTAATGAAAACATAAAATCGCCAAACTGTCATCAAAGTCTGTCTCGATCCTGAAGCGGTTTATGTCAGTTTTTCGTGGCGCTGACAGAGATTGACAATAAACAAGCGATAATAAAGCCCGTTTTGTCTTGAGTAAAATGGTCATCAATTCCGACGAAGATGCCGAAAATCTGAAAATATCTCGATAAAAAATAAACACTCAAACGTCTTGAGACTGACTGACATCTAATTTCTAATTTCTTCTTACAACATAAACCACGAATCACAAATTAAGGTCACAAGAGTAAAGGAAATGATCAGCATCCAAACAGGCTCTTGATTGTTAAACAAATCATCTTTGTCAGTACCTTAGGACATGTAAAGAAAACAGTATTCTCACCAGGGATCCCTTCGAAAAAAGGTGAATTTCAGCATGTTACGTGACTCCAAACCCCTGGGATTTTAGCATGAGAATGGTTATGCAATCTTTGACACGTTTTTTGGCTATAATATTCCGGTGCACAGGAGGTTTAGCTCGCCCCTGATGATAGCGCCTACGCCCATCTACTTCCTTCCGCCTCGGGCTGGCCTTTCCCATATCTTATAACATCTTTGAGGCTTTGTTTGTGGGTAGCCCTGGTGAGAATATATTACTATGGTGAATATGTGTACTGATGTCGTGGTGTAAAGTGTTAATATGGCACAGAATCTGATATTCCCCATCCTTCCTTCCTTTTTTCTTTTCTTCCTTTCTTCTTTCCTTCCTTCCTTCCCTCCTCCTCCTTCCTTCCTTCCTTCCTCCCCGCAAACACATCAAACGATGAAGGGGATGGTAATTCCGTAAGCGGCTCCGATAGGACATTTTCGTGCGGTGAATACTTATGCACAAGTTCAAAAATGAAAATGTCACTAACTTTTCGGGCAACACTCCAATTTCCATATAGATGCATTTTTTTTATTATAAACAGTTGTTGAGTTAAGATTCTAAAACCCTTTCTTGATTAACAGCTTGGATGTAGGGATTTTGTCCATTGTATGAGGTACAGACGGGCAGGCGTATATATCTTTAAAATAATTGTCAACATAATTTCCATTGAATTACATTCTATACTCCCATGTTCCTCAGGAAAGAACCGAATAAACAATATTGGAAGACGCAAAGTTGTACAAATCAATTTTTAGATTTTGATCAATAAATTACACTTGAGCGAATAAGAGAGCAAAGTAATAAACTAAACTTTTGTTTCGAGCCAACAGCCTAGGTTAAGGAGTAGGGATGAAATTCTGGTTTTTGAGTCACCATCCGAGCTTCCATCACTTTTACTCAGAGTTAGAATAAGTTACCGATACTCTTGAGAAACGGGTCCCTAGCGTAACAGCAGGACTGAGTTTGCTGTTGTTTTTCATCCTTATTTTAAGGTTTTTTTTGAGTGATACGGTTTTCCTCCCTCCACCAAAACCAATACTTTGATTTACAATGATAACTTTCCAATTTTAAGACGAGTTCTAGACTGAAGTTTCAGCTTTCAGAGAAATTAAAATCTGTATAGTTTTTGTATCCGCAGTGGTGATGTAAGCTCATGTTGACTAACATTCACTCATTAGGTAAAGTAAAAGTTATCCCTTTCATTTTGTTTTACTAAACGTTTCAGTAGTCACATCCATATTGTTTGATGATATAAAACTGTCCCAGTCTCTTGTGTCTTTGCTGACGAACACTTGTATCACATAGAATCACTTAAAAATTATTTTTCAGGTTTCAGATTTCAGAACCTTAACCTCGCCCAGACATGTGATCATGGTTAAGAACGTGAAGGGAAGGATTAAAAAAATATTCTATTTTTCCGAAGTATAACCTGGCACAACATCGGCTCCTCTTTCAATTCGTCTCAGGATCTGATATTTCCCATCCTTCCTTGAGTGCGTTGTACGCACTCGACAGAGCTCCTTCATTCCATCCAACCTGTAACGAAAACGCTTCACCAACCAAGTAAATTTCTTCTCCAGGGAAAGGACGTTTCGCCCATTTCTTCACATCGTGTCGGCTCACGTTGGACCCTGCCTTTGTTTCATGCCTGTTAAATAGAGGCGTGAACAAATCTAAATATATACGAAGGTCTTAATCTCGCTACTTAAACGAATAAATAGCTTTCTATAATGGAGGGAACTCCCTCGTGCGAAACGGTGGACTAAGTCGAAGTCTATCAAGATTAGGCCGAGGAAAATTCTCTATGCGAACCACCCTACAATGAACGAGATTTACGGCAATAAAATCACAGAATCTGGTTCCCTGGAACTCAGTCGGTGAAGTAGCAGGCCATTATCTAGGAAGTGGTGAACAACGCGTCCAACTTATGAGAAAATCTCACTTTGAAAAAGTATTTTTGAGTGAGGAAAATCAAAGACAGTACAACAGACTACTTCAGCTACGAGGTTATTCCTAAAGCGATTTAAAGTTGATCCTAAGGTAGCCTACGTACCAAGCTACTTTATCCCAAAATTTGAACACCATATCCAGTGGATCTGGCACAACTTTATCTGGAAACACTTCTTGGACAGCTTTCTTTATTTCCGCTTCAAAGATTGATCGTGGAAGCTCAGACATCTTTCCCCACTTTGCAGCGCATCCCAACCAGGCATACGACAATTGGATAATGGCTTCTCCTTGGGGTCCTCGTCCACTTAATAAACAACAACAGTGATGAAGACAATGTCAGCTACCACAAAAAAAATAGTGCTACGCTCCTACTCTTTATGTTTGCTGATTGATATCTTAAAATAATTCTTCATGGCCACCCGACCCGTGAAAGATATATCTCCTTCTCTTTTTTTGTGTTTCCAGCGCTTTTCAATAATAATAACAGGTTTTTATGCTATCCATTCAAACTCATAACCGTAATTATTTTAACATCGGGAGAAAATTAGAAATAGAAGGAATATGAGAGGAAAATGTGGTGATTGGAGGCGTTTCTTTCCATAAAAGTGGGAGCCATGCGAATGCATAAGGTGAAAGAGAGCAAACGGACTAAGGGCAGATGGAGGTGAATAATGTGTTACTCCTCTCTGGAAAGGAGTGATGATTGTCTTTCATGTTACAATGAGCGTGACTAGTGACACCCCGAGGAAGTGGAAGTATCAGGGAAGTAAGGCAGCAGCAGGCTCTTCTTCTTTTTTTTTTTTTTTCCTTTTTTTTCTTCTTCTGTATTTTCGCTCCTTAAGCCCTATGCCTTCGTTTTAGTCCCGCTTAGCCCATGCGTCTCCCGTTTGGCTTAACGGTAACAAAATGGACCGGCATAGACTATTCTAGTAGTGGTGCTGGCAGCAACAAAGATAATATCAACAAATTTAGGAGTGACAATGGTGTCAGTTTAGAATTATAATAGAAAAAACTCATGGTGGTCATAGAACGTAAACTAGATAGAAATTCCGCTTTTACTTACTTATAAGGGACTAACACAAGACATGTCGATGCTGACCAAAACGTTTCGACAATTGGCTCGGTTCGGTTCCGTTTGGGAAGATAATCTTCCCACCAAGGAGAACTGTAAATGGCCACTGCTTTAAATGCGTTTGCTCCCTGAATGGAACCAAATAAAACATTACTTTTGACATCTGCAGCGACATCTCCCCTAATGGCTTCAAATGGAAGAGTCGGAACAGCAATAATTAGTTTTTTGGCGGACACTTTAAAATGATCCGTATGGACGTCAAAACCATCTGCCTTCCTCTCTAAAGCATTTATTTTCTCTTTTAAAACCAGCTTTGCTCCAAAGCGCTGCGCAGAAATTTTTAATGCTGTTGTAATATCTGATATACCGCCTCTTGGTTTGTAGAAATCGTACGAAAAGTAGCTGACAGCTTCATCGTTTTCGTATTTGTCTAACGTACTTTCTTCGTAGAAATCTCTCTTGTCAACGTATCTGGCATATAGTAGCTCGCAACCTTCACTTCCAAGTCTTTCGCACATGAAGTCTCGGTAAAAAGGAAACTCAAGTGCTTTTTCTTTGGTCATGTTCCTCCAAGCAAACAGATACATTTCCAACCACGTCATATTGGAAAACGGTCCTGACATAAGCGTAGGGAAAGCTTTTTCCTTAAGAGACTGAAAGGTGTATGCACGAACACCTCTTGCTTGAAAAAAAATGTCTGTGAGTTTTCCAATAGACAACATGGGAATGTTGAGGCGTCGCGCTATATCCCTGACAACAAGATAAGATAACGACAAACGTTCATCAATGTTTTAAAAATAAGTAAGAGGTTTTTGGACAGTTGTGCAGTGAGACATACTGAAACGGATAGATAGATAGATAGATAGATCAGACCAAGAAAAACAACAGACAGACGGGGTAAGTTCGATGGATAGATGAACGGTCAGGCGAAAGTAAGCAGAGAAACACTGATCAGGCAGACAGAAGTAATCAAAAAGGTAGAGGCACACAGATAACCACAACCTGCTTGAAATGTTTGAAGTTTCAGATATGGATATTTATCCGCACAGCAGCGTTCGTTCGAATTTTCAAGAACAGTGCAATGGTTATAGTGAGATAAGTCACTCGGCCCTTCAACATTTAACACTACCTCCTCACATCATTCCGACATCATCATCAAGCACTTAGCTATAAATAGACCTAAAAGAGATATTTCCTTACATCACTCTTTTGTTTTTCTTATCCACACGCCAGGATCCTAGATCTTTTGGAAATAAGACAACAGAAATAAAAGACAAAGTTAAATAAGTATAAAGCTTAAAAAAAAGCTAAATTGGAATTAAAGAGAGACTCTCCTCTTCCACAATAAAGTTTGATAAATAAACAGATAAATAAATAAATGAGTAGGTAAATGAGTAATCAAATCAATCGAGAAAACCTTTCTTTTATTTCACCCTTTAACTCCCAGAAATAGTAAACATGAAACTTCTTCTTATAATATTCATACATTATCCAACAAAGCTGCAATGAGAGTACTAAACTGTATCAGGTAGAAGTTTTTATCCTGATCTAACACCAAATTCTCACAGCTAATTTACAAGGAAATGTGTAGCAGCTAAAGGGGAGAATTAACAATTAAATCATGGGAGTTAAAGGGTTAAAAAATATATTATAAGTTGTCGTGCGCCTGTTCAGTAATGGATCAAGGATAATGTCAAAATGTGGTTTAAAGGAAAAAATTGGCGCCTCCCGTATCACTGTCCTCTGTGATGTTTCATTGGATAGATTCACGGTAAGATGGAATATCTTAGTTTTATTTAATAAAAATGTTGTTAGAGGTGATGCGTCCGTCTTCCAGTAGCTCATAGTAAGAACCAATCAAAATGAGTGCACAATTCAGCTTATCATAACAATCGCGATAGGGCAAATTTTGTATTCGTTGTACTCACTTTAAGTTAAATTGTTGTTTGAAAGGACATTAGCTCTCGACGCACGTCCGTTATTATGGTTTGCATAGAGCACTATGGAGTATAGAGTTGGAACAAGGGTACCTGATTTGCCATAACCCGTGTAGAGTCGTAAATTCATTTTTTTCAGCTTACCACATACTCGCTACATATGAATTTAATCTCCTTCATAACGGAAAAATTTGTTTCTTTGCAAAAAATAGTACATTTCTTACTAATGCTGATGTTTGGTGCTTGCTTAAACCTGACGTCGTAATTCCTTCCACCAAATCTGGAATCTTTCTCGAACAAGCAAACGTTGTTTTCTTTTTTCAACCGCATGAGTGTCTCTGCCATGTACAATCCTGATATACCCCCACCAACCACGACGACATTACAGGTCATTTGTTTCACGTGGGACTCTTAAAATGAAAGAAAAACCAAATGATTCATAGCCAATCCGGAGATAAATGGACACCTCTAAGTTTAAATTCTACTCTACCCCTCTGGCCCTTTAATGATAAGGAAAACTATGAAAATTTCACGTTCATCGTCCTTAGTTTATCGTTCGGTTGCTAACCTGGAGTCCGTTTCTCAAAAGTCCTAGTAATTAAATGGGCCAAAGGTTAGGGTTGGGTTTAGGAAACAAGCTTATTCTGCTAAAATTCTCATAGATTTTCTCAAACTCAGGTTAATTAAGGCCTGGGTCAAAAATGATTTTCGCCTCCAGTGCCCCCCGAGCAAGGTTCGCGGAATTCGCGTGGACTGCGCGAGTAACCATAGTTACTTGGAATCAAGATCGCGTAATTCGTGAACGGCATCCGCCATTTTGAAGTGTCGGCTTTGCATTGGTTTTTCCCATCTTCGCTGGTGAATGCGACAATCAAGAGGAAGGTAATAACATCAAAAGAAGGTAATAAAATTTTCTTTTCTATCTTCATTTCCTCAAAAAATGGCATGATATCGCTATCTTAAAGCCAAAGAGAACCATTTTGAACCTACGAAGACTTCTAAACACCGCTCTCAACATGTTCATTGATTTCACTGCAAATACAATGCAACATGAATTTATAATATAGCGCTCATTTCTAGAGCTCAATAGCGTTTTACAATGTTTGTAACTTTTGCATAGAAAAAAGTACCATGTTTTGTAACAAATGCATAGAAAAAAGTTTCATTGTGGATATACCATTCAATTTTGAAATTAAATTTAGCTTGATAAATCCTCTATCACATCATGATGTGTAAACTTATGGTGTTTATCAAAATTTAAGCATTTGAATGCTTTGGAAACAATTTCTCCAAGAAGCAGATGAATTTACTGACAAACGTAATCCCCCAAAGCAGTTGTTAGGTAAGTTTAATTGCTAACATGTAAGATGCAGATTGTCTCGTCATAAATTGTCCCTTGAAAACTAAGAGGAAAAAAGCTGTACTAATGCGTGTTAGTTTATTCCGAGGTCCCTTACTGAATTGCTATAAATATATAATAATAATAATAATTTTAATTACTCACACAGAAAACCAGCCAGCCCTTGCAGATTCCAAAGGGAATCTACTTGATTAAAACCAGTTTTATTTACTGTTATCCCTGTTTGTTTTCTTGAAGAGGTCCTTCCAGTTATTCCACACAACTAATTTATTACAAGCATGTTAATGGTGTTTTTTATGAGGCTTTTTTTTGGTTTTTAAATCATGTTATATCAGTTTTAATTATAGTCAACAGTTTGGTTTTTAAGTTTTGACCGGTAATAATTGCAACAATCATTGTCAATGATGGACTTGTAATTGATATATGTGTCTATTTGAATGTAAATATTCTACCCACTACACCAGTGGAGTATCTTTTAATTCAAATGCATCACAAAAGTTCTGATACATGCATATGATTCTGACCATAGCCTTCTCTCTTTTTTGATAAGACATGATTAATTACCAGTGCTTACTGTTGCCCCAAGTGGGGCACTGTTTTTTTTTGTGACAAGAGCAAACACAAACTGGTATAAGATGTGTCATCTTCTCAGCCCTACTCATAAAAGATGTGCCATCTTAAGAGCAGGATAGGTTGCCCTTGTTACAAAGTCAGAAAGGAAAATTTTAAAATTGTATTTCTTGCTTTTTTTGTTGCTCTTCTAAGTCAATATTCCTGTTAGAAGGCTATGGTGGCCTAACTGGTTAAAACTCTGGTTTATAATTTTAAGTTTGATCTGCCAGTTGCTTGCCTAAATTCAATCTCATAGATCAATAATTGGCAGGAATTGGGAAATAAATCGGTACATGTATGTTATCTAGCAGCGATGTAAAATTATAGACATGAGTATGACCTATGAAGTAATTTGTACCTGATGGACCCTAGAGCACCTTATCTGTGCATTATTAAAAATGTCCCTCTAACATTCATTCACAATTCGTAAAGCAGAAGTACAAAATTAGTTTAGACCAAGAGCACACATAAACTTGCTAAAGACATGCACATACATTGTGATTTTAACTTTGCAAAGCCCAATAAAAAGACTCCTGCCGTGACATGGCTAGGGTCACTTTACCTGATTAGAGTGTTAATTATTACTTTCTTAAGCAGAGGTTTCATTAAGATTTTGAGGTGATGGGAAATGTACAAGGAAGCAGGCAAAATATGTTTTGATTCTGATTTATGTCAGTCACAACATGCAGGAAAAATTATATTCCCAGCCAGTCAATTTGCCCAGTGTCAGGCCCGTGAAACCCCTGCTTAAGCTTATAGTATTCAGTGAGATATTATGGAAGCCAGTGTTGCCATAATGCCTGTTGTTGTTGGTCTTCTTACAGGGCTGGCATCCAAACATTCTTGAGCCATGGAAACCAAAAGTGGAATGTTTTGCTTAACACCTACTTTGAACAGAATTTTACCAAGGGAAAAAATATCACTGGCTTCATTAATTCTTTGCAGGAGGAAAGGAGCTGTCACATGCTTTTCCAAAATCGATGATGTAGCCATGTTTGTTACTCACAAGAAAATTATTAGCCTTCAAATCACAGTGAAGAAAGCCTTTTTTGTGAATATGTGAAAGGGCTTCTGTCAAATCATGTGAAATAATTAACCAGTCATTTGTTATGAGTGAGCTTTGCACATTCTGTATTGTTGCACTGTTTTTCTGACAAGACAATAGTTTGCTTATTGTTACAGATGTATTGTCTTCCCCTTTAAACTCCATTATTAAGGAAATGGGCTGCTTTTGAAGCTGCACACCTATTATGGTTGGGATATTTTTATGTGCGAGTGCCTGCATAATGTGAGCCTCCTTCATTATCTCTGTGGTGTCCTGCATCAGAGACTGTTTTTCCACAACCTTTATATCAAATCATGTGTACTGTCTCAGAAGGCATCGACCATAGGATCCTTCTCCCAGTATTATATTCTCTTCATTGGTTGGAAGAAGTTCAGTATGATTGATTAAGTTTACAGTGTATTATTTGGTACTTGCATTCCTTTTAATAAACTGGAAAATGAAGGCAAATATATTATAGAGAGTGTGCTTAAATAAATGCTAGATTGCAACACAAGTAAAGGTGAAGATTGTTGATCTCATTGTTTGGCATGCAAATTACTGCAAAGTAAGTAGAAACATTACTCCTCCTCCAGATGGACTAGACATTAGCATTGGATTTTATTTTTTTCTTGGCGTGCTCTCCCTCGACGCTGCCGCTTTTTCTCAATTGCGTCTTTCTTTTTTTGGAGCTGAAGTTCTTCACTTTTGTTTGTGCTTCAGCAAAGCTTATTTTAAATATTTTCTCAAAGTGGCCATTCACTTTTGAATAAATGTGTTTTACAGCAGTTTTAATGGCTTTTTGCGTTGGTTTCACTTTACTTTGTGTCTTCACCCCACTTTCAATAAGGGCCTCTTTTAAAAGTTTTCGGGTTTTGAAAGTTTCTCCACTAGGGAAAAAATTATGGATGGCATAATAGTGCACTTGACAACCTCCACAATTTGACAGTGTGTGCTGTTTCTTCTGCGCTGTATTAAGAGCTTTCCAGTCAACCATTGAAAACGTGTCTTGGTACTGGGCCCTGGCTTTTGAGTTCATCTTTCGGAAAGAGCTGTAAATTGCTTTGGATTTCTTGACGTAGGTGGAACGTTCGACCGCAAAGACTTCCTGACTGTCACCCTCGAACGCTGCAAGATAGTTCTTCCACTTTTCACTAGGGTTAGTTTCAACCGAAGCACTTCCAACCTTACGAAAGCTCTCCTTTACAGCAACTCTTGCAAATCCCGCACAATTAAAAATGACAGACATTTTCGTTTCACACGAATACACTTAGCTCGTTATCGAGTAGTACCGTTGTTAGGGAACAAAACCTTGAAGAGTTTCAAGGAATCAGTGCGATAACTTTCAAGTTTTGCGCCAAAATTGCAATTGTGTTTTATTAGAACTGTCAAAGGCGATCTAACCCTGGATTTACAGAGATGCAATCGACCTCAGAAAACGAGAAAAAGAAATAAATATCACCAAAAGTATACAAAGTTTGCCTGTATTACTTCTTAGATTGCTCCAATTAGTATTTGGTAGTGTATCAGCCGTTAAACTTCGATCCTTTTCTCTATTAGAACGATTTGAGCACCCATAAACGGCACAAAAGTTAACCATGGTGCAAGAACTTCAAAATATTTTGCCTTATTGCTCTCTTCGATCGTAACGCGTAGTGGAATCAAGAGTCGCGTGTCAAAATCACGTGATGTGACGTCATGACACTAAGTTGAATACGTGACTGCGAGTTTTCAAAATTCCCACCTCTTAAACGGTTTTAATTTGTCTTTTTTCCAAATAAATAGGAACCTGTACGATTACTTTCATTTACAGCGGTTGGAACCAGGTAGAGGCTAAGATGTTTTCGGGCGAAAACCATGAAAGAGGAAGCAGCTTCGCAGAGACAAAACTTGATTTAATCTGCCTAGCACATCTCTCTTTTTTTTGGCAGCCATTCCAAGTGGGAAAACAATGAAAAACGTCTCAAATATTCATAGCGATAACTGCATTTTGATTTGCCTTGTGTTTTGTGGTGGGAATTTGTTCAAGAAAGCAACCGACGAATTTGGCGCCTAAATTAACTGTTTTTGGCTGTTGAGAGTATCATATTACGCTGCCACAATTCAGTCCGAGAGAGATGGTAGTGATACACATTTCTGCCAAGTACGAGAAAAATCCCTAGCGTTATTCTCAAAAAATATGGGTTAAAGACAGGGTGACCCAGGCCTTAATTAACCTGAGAAGTTGGTATTTCAGGGTCGTAACAAGGTATATGAGATCAGGGATCACAGCCCCGGGATCTGGGATAGACAGCAGTGTTTTAGACCAAAATTGTGAACGTTTTTGGGATCTTAATTAAAATTCCTTTTTGTGATCAGTCAAAATGGTATTTTGAAAAAATATACCTTGTTACGACCCTGGTATTTTAAAAGCCGTTTCTACCTGTATCAAGCACCTCCTCAAAAAGCTTCCATTTTAATTGCATTGAACCAGATAGAGTGCTCGTTGCGTGACTATATAACAGTGATACAAGTATCACTGTGACGATAACACAGAGACAATTCCCGGGAGTAAAAACTCTCAAGTCTTCTCTGACTTCTCGGTGTCCGATGATATGGCTGAAACTCATTATCTCTTATAAGAACAGTTTACGTCGAAATCATCTCCTGCTTGGCAGAAATCATTATAGGGAAGTCGTTGTAACACAAACGGGTCGGGTCAAACAGTTGTCATACACTGAGCTTCGACTGAGGTAAACAAATAGACACATATTTAAAAACCACCATAGACTGCGACCATTCCACCTACCTTGATTTCCAGCTTGATTACCTGACACTCCAGTGATATCTCCTTTACTCTTTTCGTGAGCCAGCAATGCAGCTAAAACGACAACAGCGATCAAAAACGAAACAAACAGAAATGCAGCTACAAATGCTTTAAGTCGACTGACAAAGTAACCGTGAACTTCAAAGCTGCGTATTCCGCCGTATTCCTTATCAATTTCCATGTTAGCGTTGGGAAAAACTAATGCTAAATTCTCAGTCGACTAGATCACAACGTCAAACCTGTGCGGCCCAAAAAAAACTTTCGACAAATCGCGTGGAAGCTATATTTAGTCGGGATGATGTTGTATTTCGTGAATTGTGTAAGAATCACTGAGCTGGAAAAAATTGAAATGTTGAATACCCTCGAGTATTGGAGAGGTGGCTCCATATATAGTCAAAACGTTGCCTACCATACCAGGCCCCCACACGAGACCTTAACATACGATATCAGACCCCTTCCTTCATGTACAATAATATCAGCCCTCGACATACCATATGAGAACCCGATCATTGTAGGTTCTCGACACCATTTAATGTGAAACGTAATTATTGACATTTATATGAGCAATTCGCAAAATACATGTTTCAAGTCAGCATAATCATCGGGAAAAGAAAGGGTCGTTGTAGACTGACATGTTTTTAGAGTTTAGATCAGGTATTGTCTCAGCGTATTTAAGCGCTGGCTCATAATGGAATATAGAGATGAAGGAATTACAGTGAATGATGTCTTGAAGCGAAAGTCTTTCCCCTGAAAGGCTCCGCGACAATTCATAGTGGCAGGTTGAACAAAATTTTTTTTGTTTCTTGACCTTCAAATCTATTTGTTCATTAAAACTTTTTATGAGAGAGTTCAAGGAGTCACTTGCGGATGACCCCTATTTTGTTCAATCACGCAACATGCTCTGTCCGTCTGTCTGTCTTTCTCTCTCTGAAACATTTTTTTGAAATGATAGACTAGTGAGCAGTACTGCACGAGCTAAAATAGTAATTACTTGATTTAATCTGCTTCGCCTTACGCGCAAAAAGCTTGGGATAAGGTATTTTTCAATGCTCGCGACTAGCTGTCTTAGTCTTGTGAGAAACGTATAGAGTCGGATATGTTTTTTTTATGTCTGGGTCCTGATGTTTTAGTATCACGCGAAAATTTTGGGGTCCAACGTGGTAATCTTCATGTCTAGGCCTTGCTGTTGTAGTCTTGTATCTTAGTCCTCTGAAACGTTTGCAAAGAGCTTTTACAGAATTTGTCTACGGAGCGCTTGTAGGCTGCACGAAAAAGCCCATTTCTCGAAATGTAGGGGGATATATTGCAAAAATATATTTCTCGAGATTGCTTACTTTACTAAAACTCTTCAGAATTTTTCAAGTGTTTGGAAAAATTTTTGAAATTTGTGGTAGTGGCATAATGAAGGTCAGACACGACACTGCTCCCCGGCTTTTTAATCGCGCTGTTCCTTTTAGCGAGCATCTATAGTAGAAATGACGCGGGATATAGCTTCCTAATATCTCAGAGACGGTCCTGGGCAACTTTTCACGTTGGAAACTGGCAAGAAAACGCTATAATTTGGTATTTTTAAGAACTATCGTTGAGACCTTGGATCTTTGACTACAGCGAATTTTACGAGTCTGTTGTTTTACCGTGGAACAACAATGGCAAAGCTGTCACAACTGTGTACCCAACGCGATCTGTGTCAAACAAAGGAGCCTTTG